GCATGACATAAAACCACTACCATGTGCAGCCTATTCAAAGTTGTTAAGGACCTATAGCAATTAGGAAAGGTGTCCGAAATTGCATTAAACATCTTATTGCAAATTACCTCTCCTATCAAAGACTGTCTAAAAACCATAGAGCTTTCACATCTAGGATTTCACACTTGTTTGTTCCAAGGAATATACAGGAAGCATTGGATGATCCGAATTGGAAATTAGCAGTCATGGAGGAGATGAATGCTTTAAGGAGAAGTGGTACTTGGGAGATAGTTGATCTACCCAAAGACAAGAAAACAGTTGGGTGTAAATGGGTGTTTACGATAAAATGTAACGCAGATGGAAGTGTTGAGAGATACAAGGCGAGACTGGTGGCTAAAGGCTTCCCTCAAACTTATGGGATCGACTATCAGGAGGCGTTTGCTCCTGTTGCTAAAATAAATTCCATCAGAGTACTGTTATCTCTTGCAGTAAATTCAGATTGGCCTCTACATCAACTTGACATTAAAAATGCATTTCTCAATGGTGATCTTGAAGAGGAGGTGTTCATGAGCCTACCACCGGGATTTGAGCAGAGACGTGGAAGCGACAGAGTATGCAGATTGAACAAGTCATTATACGGACTCAAACAATCACCAAGAGCGTGGTTTGAACGCTTTGGGAAGGCAGTTATCAGTTGTGGCTTCTCGCAGAGTCAAGCAGATCACACAATATTTTATAAACATTCAAAAGGCAGTAAAATTACAATTTTGATTGTTTATGTTGATGACATCATTTTAACTGGTAATGATGAAACAGAGTTAGCAGCCCTCAAAGAGAAACTCGCAAAACAATTTCACATTAAGGATCTGGGAACCCTCAAGTATTTCCTCGGAATGGAATTTGCAAGATCCAAGGAAGGTATATTCGTTAATCAGAGAAAATATGTTCTTGATCTCCTTGGAGAAACAGGTATGCTTGGTTGTAAGATGGTGGAGACTCCGATCGAGCCTAACTTGAAGTTACAAGCTGCTAAGGCTGAAGAAGTCAAAGAGAGGGAACAATATCAGCGACTTGTCGGGAAATTGATTTACTTGTCTCATACGCGGCCTGATATTGCCTTTGCAGTCAGCATGGTAAGTCAGTTCATGCACTCACCAGGGGCAGAGCACTTTGAGGCCGTTTATAAGATCTTAAGATATTTGAAAAGAACTCCAAGGAGAGGCTTACTGTTCAAGAAACATGGACATCTTCAAGTTGAAGTATACACAGATGCAGACTGGGCAGTGTGTGTGTGTGTGTGTGTGTGAGAGAGAGAGAGAGAGAGTCAAAAACCATAATAGCATTAATTTATTAAGTTCAACTCTCTCCCTGCAATGTTGGGCTGTTGGGACATGGGGAAGTGGGCATAAATACAAGTACTTACAAAAGAAAGCAACTCCAAAATCATTATTTGTGCAGGTCTTTTTTTATTTTAAGTTGAGTGTTGATTTCCATTAAAACCAGTTGAAACCAACACCTATTCCACAATCAACAAAGAACTCAACCATTGTTGCCGCCTCAACAGTTTTCTTTTTTTATTTATTTCCCCTGTATGGTGTGTTTGTCATATCTCACAATCTTTAAAACTCATTTACAAATAGATATATATAATTATACAAATATCAATCCTGTGGCCTACCAGGCTACAATGTACAGCATTCATGGAACTCAGATCTAAAAACCAAATTGATAAATATGTTTCCAGAGGATATACTGGCCACTAAATTGTTCGCCCTAATTTAACTGTCATGTTTAAAGAAATAATAATAATCATAAAAATAACACGAAATTGATCCTAAGCACAAAAACTGGCTTTCATAATCCTGCAGGCCTATTGGATATAGACATTCACTGAAATTCATATAAACATAAACAAAATTTTTCCAGTTGTTTAGACCAGCCAGTATCATTATTATGTCACAATAAAAAGGCTTATTTGAACAAGCATAAAACAAACTGAAAATATAAGAAACAGTGTACATATTGAAACATAAAACATAAATAATAATAATAATAATAATAATAATAAAAGCAAAAGCAAAAGAAAAATTAAAACTAAGGAAAACAATTTAACGAGAAAACAAGATGTGTCCTTGATACAAGTATTGAAAAGAAAGAAACTGAGTACCAAGAACCAATAGTTGATCAAACTCACATCCTGGCTTCAAGACAGATTTCATCAAACCCACAAGCCCTGTGCAGCAGTGCCTTGAAAGTCAGTAAACAATGAAAGAAGGCAGCCTTGAACAACCCTTTCTTCTTGAAGACAGAAAATATACCTTGGTGATCTGACAAATGTTCTGCAGAAATTGTACCCTTGGTGTAACCTTTTGCATTGACACGTACTATTGCTGCATGAGGGGTTACTCACTCAACCACTCCAGAAACAATAGTGCCCAACTTGGCCACATCATCATCAGTAACCCTGCCAGTAGAAAATCTCAGTTGAGATTAGTACACTGTTCAATGTGAAAAATGCAATTCAGGAATCGACATATATTTCCATTACCATACATGACTGTAGATTATGAGTATCAGTATGGTCTCCTCCACTTTAATTGATACTGTCAAAAAACAAAAAAAAAAAGATTTCTATCAAATGATGTTAATAAAGAACACTTCAACCATGTATGCAAGTAAGAAAAAACTTACATGTCACAATTGGTGGTCCAGGAGACTGGGATATCCATTTGAACACTGCATTTGGCAGCAAGAGATTGAGCTGCATCATCTTTCAAGTTTGAGCAGTGATCGGCAGCTTGCTTTACGCAGTTGCATGCTGCTCGATTGTCAGCTGTGGTTGAGGCCATCCCTTTGATGTTTTTGACCCCACCACAGCATGTAGGTGCTGGACTTCCACTTCCTCCAATCAGGTAAGGCACACACGGGGCCAAATAACCGTCAACCTGGCCACAAGAGATGGCCCGGCTTGGCTCCACCATGAGCTGAATCATGGCTAGCACAACCATCACTATGACTACTCCCTTCATCTTTCCTTGTATAAGGACACTAGAAAAAAATAAAATAAAATAAAATAAAAAATAATAATATTATAGTTTGGCCTGTTAATCGTGTTCTTGTATGTGTTTGCTAGAAGAGAAGGTTAGATGGGGTATATTTAGGATTTGGGTAATCATGCAGAACCGATAAGGGGATAAAGGCTGAACAATTATCTGCTACATTGTTCTGGCTTTTTCTCTGCCTTCATGTGTCACTGGTTATGGTTCATAGCAAAAGGATGGTTGCTTCTGTAACAGTTTTGGCTAGCTCTTCATTCACTTGCTTAGTGACATGTCCACCATAAATTTTCCATTCATCATTTCTTGGTGGCACAACTAAATCCCCTTTGCTTTTTCACATCTCAAATTCAGAACAGTAACTGAAAGTGCAGAAAATAAGTATGATACATCAGCATTCCTCTGTTTGGCATTTCACTTACTATTGATAATTACATCAAATATATGATAATTCAGCAGCAACAATCTTTGTCGACAATGAACACTTAAAATACCATAATCATAATGCAAGAGTTTGCTGTTCACAATGGTTTCCTATAAAGTTTAATAGCTAAATGGACATACAAGATGTTGTTTCCCGAGCTCAACGTATTTTATCTCTCTTGGGAACTCAATGAAACAAGGGCTTAAACTTTATTACTGGGGTTTTAAAAGAAAACAAAGAAAATTGATTTTCACTTGGATGTTCAGAAAAACTCCATAAAGGTTGGATATTGTAGGCAGATCGTTGTATCAAGTAGGTGGATCGTAGTCCCTTAACAATAAAAATGGCTGCAACTGTATAAATCCACCAGTCAACATGTAATGTGTGAACAATGACAGTAGCTAGCTAGATATGGATAAGGGGGCATGGAATACATATGGTGAACTACAACAATTGTTAATTAAAGAACCTCGCATAGGTTTTGTTTGATAAAACTGAAAAATGATTTTTGAAAATAGTACTAAAAACTAAATTTTTAATATTTTATCAAACGAGTTTAATTTATTTGCACTTAATACGTTCAGTTTTAAGTGCAGAATTGTGTCATCAAACACGCGAAAACAATAGCTAGGTTAAGAGATAATTGAGCATACCGTAAGTTTGTAAAATGAACCTTTTGTTGGGGTAGCGTGGATCCTGATAAGTATTGGATACTAACCACTCGACCGCAGATCCAACTTGCGACCCAAATTTTGGAGTAATTTTCTGTGTTTATAGTTGATGGGAGGCACATATCTCTTGTAATCTTTGGTAACCTTTCTGATCATAATGAAAACCATAGCAGCCATGGATGTAGCCCTAGTTTTTGGGTGAACCACCTAAACCTTGTGTTCTTTGTGTATGGGATTGTTTGTTTCTCTGCTTCTCATTTGATCGATCATGGTTAGGTGTTACAGATTCCTAACACCTTTGTGATATAGTAAAATATGTTTTAGGCCATGACCAATGGCCTACTCTAGTTGGTCCTACACGTGATCTTCCATCCATTGACTTCAATTTTTATATAAATTTATCCATGTAATATAAGCGATAGAACCCAACCTTGATTAACTGAAACAGAGGGTTTCAAGTCAAGATTCATCTGAGACAGTGAGGTGCATTAGATCCCCTTTGTACTAGTTTGCCCAAGAAAACCAGTGTTTTAAATCTTCCATGAAGTTTATCATATCACTGTTTCTGGCTTCACTCTCTAGCTACCCTTTGGTTGTTAAGGCAGTGCTACAAATTTCGAGTACTTGGTCCTCTGATTAGAGCTTACAAGCACCGCATCACTGCTTAAATCTTCATATGATTGATTTCTTGATCTACCAGAATTAATGTGCATGCCTTCATTTGGTTTTATCATCTGTTTGTTATTGCCATGAATTCAAATGTGGTGGTTTTCTGAAACCAAAGAAGATAGGGTTGCATTAAGTTATGCCTCTATGAATTCAAATTGCCTTGTTGATGCGTCACCAAGCCGGTAAATGACTATAGCAGTAGCCGTCAAGAGAACAGAAGGATATCAAGTGCTCATCCTTTTAGCTATATATCAGATAAATAGCTATCTGACATATAAAAGCTAACAAGAAGCCAAAATGTTGTAACAGATGTAGTTATGCCTAATCCATTTATCCATTGTATATGACCCCCCAAACTGCTATATATACTTCATCTGATCTTCCCTAATAGCAAACCAGAAGGAAGCTCACAAGATAAAATTGTAGGGCCAAACTCAGACATCAAGAAAAATTTCACATGTCCTATATTAGGAGAAATGAAGAGAGTAGTCATAGCCGTGGTCGTGTTAGCCATGATTATGGTGGAGCCAGGACAGGCCATCTCTTGCGGCCAGGTTGATGGTTATTTGGCCCCGTGCGTACCCTACCTCATTGGAGGAAGTGGAAGTCCAGCACCTACATGTTGTGATGGGATCAAAAGCATCAAAGGTGTGTGGGTGATTTTCTGACCACACTGCCCAACTTAGTATTCAGTTGGAGAGCACTGGCAGAATAGACGACACCTGGCTGACCTGCAACAGAAAGAGAAGATTCCGGCGGTGGCTCGTCCACCCGGGGGCACTCCAACGATCAAGTCAGTACTCAATATCTCTCAAAGATAACCAATCGTGCTAATCTCACTGTTCAAAATATAAATTGCGTACCTTAGACCCATGGGGTACCTCTCTTTTATAATTAACTCAATCCTTGTCCCACTAGAAGCCTAGCTTCAATGGACTCTTGCTCAGTGCTTATCCTGAACTCTCTAAGAGATAAAGATAAACTCTCTAAGAGTGTTATCCTTATCCATGCTAAAGTCCTTCATCATTCTAGGACTCTTGTCCCTTATCCGCTTATCTCGGATTCCGATATCTTCGGAGATAACATCGGCCTTGCTGAGATAACCTCGGCGTCATGACATAGACACGTGGCACCTCGGCTGACACGTCGGCGTCACCTTAGCCACGTGTTGGTACTTCAGATAATATATCCCCACAAAAGGGATGGCCTCAACCACAACTGACAAGCAAGCAACGTGCAACTGCGTTAAGCAGGCGGCCAATCGCTACTCAAACTTGAAAGATGATGCAGCCTAATCTCCCGCTGCCAAGTGCGGTGTTCAAATGGATATCCCAGTCTCCCGGACCACCAACTGTGACATGTAAGTTTTTTTTCTTACTTACATACATGCCTGTAATGTTTTCCGCCCTAATATATCTTTTTTTCACATTTGATGTAAACATCTTAATATAAATTTATTTTCGTCTTCTGACAGTGTCAACTAAGGTGGAGGGGATCATGCTAGAAATAAAGCAAGGGAGTTTCCACCAACAGCTAGCTGATAACACCTAATTACATGATGTTGTCAAATAAATGTCTGTAATACTAAAGCTTTGTAAAGCTTTGTCAAGCTTCTTATCATGGTTTATGCAAGCTTATTGAGCAAAATTTTTGATGTTTCTGATAATAAGATTTTCTTTTAACATCATGTCTTTCTTTTTTATTTCTCCGATTTATTTTTACTATCAGCATTCTCGGCTCTCAGAACATTGAAGGATCTATGCCAAACTTTCCACATTCGTATAACGATTTCAGCTTCATCAATTTCAAAATTTTTTTCTTTTTTACTTTACATTTGATTTTATACTCTTTCGGCATATAATTACAAAGATTATGGTGTACGAAGATACTTATGCTTTTTCAAGATCAGTATATTTGAAGAGGGAGCTAGTTTAAAATTCATCCAATAACCAAATTTTTGATCAAAATGAAAATGATAAAATCTATATTGATTTCATGGATGTCTTGGTCTGGTGGTACTATATGGCTCCTATTGCCTTCAATCTCACATTAAGAGCCAAAAATAAACATAAAGATATGTGAAACTGAAGGAAAAAATTGAAGGAAAAAATTGAAGAAAATAATTGGAATGAATAAGATAATACGCACATACTCATGGGATTATTTGCAACACTAAAATAATGGATTTTGCGACCCATTATTTGCAACGAGATTATGCCATCACAAAATGGCATTATTAGAGATCGAAGGAAAAAATCCACTTTTTTGCGACGCTAAAGTTGCGATCACAAATACTACGACGCAAAACATGATTTCTCTAGTATTGTGGGTATACTTCCAGCATAAATTTTAAAAGATTTGTAGCATGTATACAATACAAAATTCATAAATTTTAGCATGAATTCACCTTCCAAAAAATATCAAAAAACAGCATGACAAGAGCATGATTGTAAAAGCTAAAAGTCTAAGGTGAAATTCAACTTGCCATGGCTCCACTTGTATGTGACATCCAATAATTTTCCTCCATTTCTGTTAATTCTGTTTGGGTACCCAATGTTGAGGTTTAAACAGGAATATCTAGAAAATTAAGCCAGTTTGGTAGTATTTTTCTTCTCGAAGTTTTCATAAACAAAAACAATGAAAAGTTGGGAAATGCCCATCGTTTGGACTTTCGATATACTTTTTATTTTATATGAAATTATTCTCGAATTAAAAAAATGGGTTGCTTTTTGAAAATTTTCCACCAAACAAGTCTAGTACTGAAACTCTAGCAAATTGGCAGCAAGAACTACACTAAGGCAACACTTCAAATCTTTTTGGGTAGTGCTGCAAATTTTTATGAACTGACCAGTAATTGGAGTTGGAATTTAGACCTTCTATATTACTTCAAGAGGGTCTACATTTTAAGTGCTCGGGATTTTTTTTAGTTGGATTTTTTTATTTCCCCAAAATTTGCTTCTGAAAGTGAAGACCAGATATATTCTTCAGTTTTAGGGATAATCAATCATTTGATTGAATTGGAAGGAAAACAAAATTTGTGAATTTGTGAAGCAGAAAAAACGGCATGCTAAGAACCATCCGTTAAATGGAAGCATGGATTTGTGCATCACTGATTGCAAACCTATTGTGTATGTGTTTAAAAAAAAAAAAATTTAAAAAAAAGCTATGAATATTTATGGCACTTTTAGTAATGTGAGAGAGAGAGAGAGAGATGAATAAGAGAGATGCGATGATGGCAACCAATCTTATTATCAGATATATGAAATATTAAGCCGGAGAAACTTGCATAAACCGTGACAAAAAGCTTGGTAAAGCTTTAGTATTACAAGACTACAAAGATTCTCTTATGCTGTGTTTGGTTGGGGAATTTGGGGAGAGAAATGGAAAAGGTAGGTGAAATGTGAATAAAACATGCCTATATTTTACCTAGTTTCACACATCTTTTCCCTTTCTCTTTCCAAATCCCTCTCCAAATCCCCCAACCAAACACAGCATTAATGAAATCATTATTTGACAACACCAAAATTCCCTTGCTTTGTTTCGGTCTTGATCCACTCCACCTTAGTTGATGCTGCCAAAACACAAAAAACAAATTTCTATTAAGAATAGTTTACATTAAAGGTCGAAAATAATGTTGGAAACAAAGAAAAAGTAAAAAAGAAAAAAGAAAAAAACACTTCAGGCATGTATGCAAGTAAGAAAAAACTTACATGTCACAATTGGTGGTCCTGGAGACTGGGATATCCATTTGAACACCGCACTTGGCAGCAAGAGATTGGGTTGCTTCATCTTTCAAGTTCGAGTAGCGATTGGCAACCTGCTTTGGCAACCTGCTTTACGTAGTTGCATGCTGCTCGCTTGTCAGTTGTGGTTGAGGCCATCCCTTTGATGTTTTTGACCCCATCACAGCATGTAGGTGCAAGACTTCCACTTCCTCCAATGAGGTAGGGCACGCACGGGGCCAAATAACCATCAACCTGGCCACAAGAGATGGCCCAGCCTGGCTCCACCATGAGCTGAATCATGGCTAGAACAACCATGGCTATGACTACTCCCTTCATTTCTCCTTAAAGAGGACACTTGAAAGATGCCGAGTGTCCACACCTTGTGAAGTAGGCCATGGTAGCCAAATGTAGCAGGCGCAGTTTTTGGGCTAGAGATTTTAGAGACATTCAGCCGAGCTATCCCCTTATAGGGTGGTTATATTGATGGCTAACCATTTATTTTTTGGTGGTTGGTTGTTGGGAGGCAAGCTCTCCCGTTTGTGTATAAATAGGGAGAGATGTGAGCTAAGTTGATAGAAAGATCAAGTGTGAAGAAAAGAGTGAGTTGTGAAAAGTGTATGATCTGTGAGTTGAGTTGAGAGAGTGAGACTCATTCTCTATTTTGTATTTGTTTTTGTTCATAGTGAAGCTTTCTCTTTTTCTCCTGTGAACGTAGGCATTGGGCCGAACCACGTAAATATTTGTGTCTCATTTGTGTGTGTGATTGCTTGTTGATCATTTTCTGGGTGTCTTTAATCTTAACAAAGTGATATCAGAACCTGGTTGTGTGTTTTTTGAAAAAACAGAGTGTGTTTTTTAGAATTGCCCAGATTTCAGTGGTCAAAATCCACTTTTGATCACACCAGGTTGAAGCACTTGACGAGACGAGCACACAGAAAAAAACCGCGTCGAAAAAGGACGTCAGAGGAGCCTCCACGCGCCGTCATGCGCCATTTGACGCCGTGACCATGCGCAGTGACGTGCAACACACGTTTTTTTCGTTTTGCCATTCGCTGATGTCATCCCCTCGCCGGTCGGTGACGTCTTGCCATCGGGTACCGATGTCATCCGACCTGCGCCGATCCGTGTTGACCCACGCTGACCCGTGTTGACCGAGCCAAGCCGTGTTGACCGAGCTACACCGCCAGCCGCTGATGTCATCTTGACACTAGCCGAACCTAAGAAATTATCCGATGCTTCTTAGCCGCTCCAGATTCTATCGATCTGAACCATTAAACTATTTTGGCTAGATCTAAGCCATTTGAAGTTTTTTTTTGACGATCCAATTGTGCTTTCCAACTATTTGGAATATTCTGGACACATCTGTACGGTCAGATTTTACAAATTAGATTTCAAAATTTTACAATTTTTTATTTTGGCAACACAAAGTGTTTTTCCAGGTAATTTGACCAATCCGGACTCAACGACGAAGTCTGATTTTTCAGACAAAGATCATTTTCTGTAGAGACAATTATTGATGAAGAAATCAACGTCGACTTTGGGATCCATGATCAAGTTGAATGCTTCCAACTATGCAATTTGGAAGCCCAAAATGGAGGATATCCTGTACTGTGGAGATTTGTTTGACCCCATTAAGCTTAATGAAGTTAAACCAATTGCGGAAAAAGATGAAGACTGGAAGCGAAAGAACCGAAAGACCATTGGTCAGATCAGACAATGGATCGATCATAGTGTCTTATACCATGTCGCCCAAGAGACTGATGCCTATGCTCTTTGGACAAAATTCGAAGGCATGTACCAGTCGAACACTGCTCGGAATAAAGCCCTCCTAATGAGAAGGCTTGGAAATTTGAAGCTAAATGGCGACATCTCTGTTGCAGAACACACTAGTGAGTTCCAAAATATGGTGAAGCAACTAGCAATTGTCAAAATGGAGCTGGATGATGAGATGCAGGCCCTATTACTGCTCAGCTCTTTGTCAGACAGTTAGAAGATGTTGGTGGTGTCCCTTAGCATCTCTGCACCAGAAGGAAAACTAATCATGAGCATGGTTACAGATGCTTTATTTAGTGAAAAGGCAAGAAAGAAAGACATGGGTGGACATCAGTCTCATACCCTCGTCACAAAAAAAAAAAGAGATAGAAGTGGAGGCAGAGACAGAAATAGAGAAAGAAGCAAAAATAAAGGACGCAGTAGAAGAAGATCTCAAGACAGAGGGAAATCCAAAGAAGGTACGAGCCATCCAAAGCTCAAGTGTTACCACTGTGGCAAGGAGGGTCACATAAAGAAATATTGTTATGCCTTGAAGAGAGAACAAAAACAAGGCACTAGACAGCCAAAGACCGAAGATGGGAACACTGCAGTTACTGTCTCAAAGGATATTGCATTATTCTTTGTTGGAGAAGAAGAATACCTCTATATGTCAGACAACGACACCGAGTGGGTGATAGATACAATAGCTTCCTACTACGCTACATCCGGAAGGAGTTTTTAAGTATGTACCAAGCTAGAGATTTTGGTACAGCGAAGATAGGTAACTCCAATTTTTCAAAGATTGTGGGAATCGATGATGTTCGCATCCAAACCAAAGTTGGGTGCATGATGGTGTTGAAAGATGTCAAGCATGTTCCCGATTTACGCCTGAATCTTGTTTCAAAGATAGCCTTAGATCCACAAGGCTATGAGAACTACTTCGGCAAAGGCATATGAAAGTTGAAAAAGAGATCTTTGGTGGTAGCCAGAGGATAAGAAAGTGGCACGCTGTACAAGACTCATGTGGAGGTGAATTCAAATAGCCTTAATGCAGCAGAAAATGAGGCATCACCTAATTTGTGGCACAAAAGGCTGGGCCACATGAGTGAGAAAGGGTTGCAGATTTTGGTAAAGAAGTCTCTTATTCCTTTTGCCAAAGATGCGAAATTGAATCCTTGTGACAACTGCTTATTTGGAAAGCATCATAGAGTCATTTTCCACTCATTATCCAAAAAACAATCAGAGTTGTTAAGCAAAGCATACTCTGATGTATGCGGTCCCATAGAAGTGAAATCTTTGGGTGGCAGAAAATACTTCCTGACGTTTATTGATGACGCATCACGAAAGGTACGGGTTTATGTCCTTAAGACCAAAGCTGAGGTATTCCAGCATTTTCAAACATTTCATGCTATGGTAGAAAGGGAGACCGGAAAAAAACTAAAGTTTCTCTAAACAGACAATGGAGGCGAGTACACGTCAAAGGAGTTTGAAGCCTATTATGCTACTCGCGGCATCCGACATGAAAAGACTATTCCTGGAACCCCACAACACAATGGTGTAGCTGAGAGAATGAATCGGACCATTGTGGAGAAAGTCAGATTTATGCTCAAAATGGCAAAGTTGCCAAAGCCATTTTTGGGAGAAGCTATTCGTATTGCTTACTATTTCATCAACAGATAGCCATCGGTTCCACTGAATTTTCAGATTCCAGAAAAAGTATGGTTTGGAAAGGAGATTTTTTACTCTCACTTGAGAGTATTCGGGTGCAAAGCATTTGCACATGTATCCAAGGAGCATAGGCAAAAGCTAGATGATAAAGCTACTCCATGCATCATTATTGGCTATGGAGATGAAGAATTTGGATACAGATTATGGGATCCGAAAAACAAGAAGGTCATTCGAAGCCGAGATGTGGTATTTCAAGAAAGCTAGAGCTTAGAAGACTTTGGACAACCAGCCAAATCCAAAGTTGATGATGTTTCAGAAATTATTCCCAATCCTGTACCATCACATCATGTCACTGATAAGAAGAGCTACCGGAGCATGCAGCCAATGATATAGAGTTGCATGATGGATTTCCAGAAGAAGAAGATCCAGAAGAAGAGGGTGCTGAGTAGGGAGAGTCACAACCCCCTTCGCCAGAGACTGTTGGTCCACAGTCACAAAGATCAACAAAAGAGCCTAAGTCGTCATCAAAATACCCAACTTCTGAGTATATTTTGCTTACTAATGAGGGGGAACCAGAAAGTTTTCAAGAAGCTCAGAATCATAAGGAGAAGAATAGCTGGCAGCAAGCTATGCAATAAGAGATGCAGTCCTTGCAGAAAAATTCGACTTATGATTTGGTAGAAGATGTTGGTGGTGTCCCTTAGCATCTCTGCACCAGAAGGAAAACTAATCATGAGCATGGTTACAGATGCTTTATTTAGTGAAAAGGCAAGAAAGAAAGACATGGGTGGACATCAGTCTCATACCCTCGTCACAAAAAAAAAAAAGAGATAGAAGTGGAGGCAGAGACAGAAATAGAGAAAGAAGCAAAAATAAAGGACGCAGTAGAAGAAGATCTCAAGACAGAGGGAAATCCAAAGAAGGTACGAGCCATCCAAAGCTCAAGTGTTACCACTGTGGCAAGGAGGGTCACATAAAGAAATATTGTTATGCCTTGAAGAGAGAACAAAAACAAGGCACTAGACAGCCAAAGACCGAAGATGGGAACACTGCAGTTACTGTCTCAAAGGATATTGCATTATTCTTTGTTGGAGAAGAAGAATACCTCCATATATCAGACAATGACACCGAATGGGTGGTAGATACAGCAGCTTCTTACCACGTCACACCCCGGAAGGAGTTTTTCAATACGAACCAAGCTGGAGATTTTGGTACAGTGAAGATGGGCAACTCCAGTTTTTCAAAGATTGCAGGACTCGATGATGTTCGTATCCAAACCAAAGTTGGGTGCACAATGTCTTAAAAGATGTTAGGCATGTTCCCGATTTACTCCTAAATCTTATCTCAGGGATAGCCTTAGATCGACAAGGCTATAAGAACTACTTCGGCAAAGGCATGTGGAAGTTAAAAAACGGAACTCTGGTGGTAGCCAGAGGACAAGCAATTGGCACGTTGTACAAGACTCATGTGGAAGTGCATTCAGATAGCGTCAACGCAGCAGAGGATGAGGCATCACCAAATTTGTGGCACAAAAGGCTGGGTCACATGAGTGAGAAATGATTGCAAATTCTGGCAAAGAAGTCGTTTATTCCCTTTGCCAAAGATGTGAAATTGAACCCTTGTGACAAGTGCTTGTTTGGGAAGCTACAGAAAGTCGTTTTCTACTCATCATTCAGAAGATAATCAGAGTTGTTGAGCAGAGTATACTCTGATATATGCGGTCCTATAGAAGTGGAATCTTTGGGTGGCAGAAAATACTTCCTAACGTTTATTGATGACGCGTCACGAAAGGTATGGGTTTATATTTTAAAAACCAAAACTGAGGTGTTCCAACATTTCCAGGCATTCCATGCTATGGTAGAAAGGGAGACCGGAAAGAAGCTAAAGTGTCTCCGAATAGACAATGGAGGCGAGTA